GGGTGTAACCCCAAAACAAAACAAAACAACGACAACAAAAAAAAACCTTCCTTGTTTTATACAAGTACTACAAGAATGAGTCTGCCCTCCTTCCTGTCCACTTCTGCTTCCTACAGACTTATCTTTCCTATCTGCTGGAGAATCCCAGTCACAATGAGTGTAACAGGGTAAGGAATTCTCAGATGGTCACAATTGAGGGCGGAGCTCTGAGCCACATCCACTGTGCTGAAACTCCTTCGCATGCAGGAATCTTGACCCCCTTGCCAGCAGACATTGCAGTCAGATCTCCTCCAGAATCTCCTTGCTTCTGATTCCCATCAGGATCTAGGGGTCATAGTGCCCATGATCTCCTATGGTCATTCTTTTGCCTCTCAAAGTCCAATATGCTATCCAGTGCACCACAGAGCCGAAAAGAATTCTTTTTGCTTCTAATTCTCTTCTGTTGTCCCAATTTTAGAAATCTTTCAGAATCCAGATACAGAGTAACAGAATGTGAATATGTCAAGTGTAGTCTCATGTTTAACTGAAATCTTTTGGAACTTTGTACCATCTCTTTATTAATTGAATCAGCACAAGGGGCTGTCATGTAGCAGTCACTGTAGGAAATGGAGCTTCAGCAGTGGATTAAGGAAAGTGTGCATGTTCTTGTGGATATTTTATTATGTGACATTTCTTAATCTTGTGTTTCATATATTATGACCATTTCTTGGTGACAAAAGGGAGATATCTCATTCAGGACTGTATCTCATTCACTGTGAGGTATTCATTATATTTCTTTTCACTTAAAAAATATATATATAACGGCATTCGCGGCCGCGTGACATCTTATTATCTCATTCTTACTTTGGACAACCTGGCAGGCTACCGAATGTAACCTGCCCACACAGCAGAGTCTGGCAAACTCCCCGTGGCGCACCCAATATGTCAAATACCAGTAACAATGATGGGTCTCATTCTCCTAATCCTGAAAGAGCCTTGAATGTGGCACTTTTTAAAATTTCAGGGCTAGGGTGAAGGAGACGTTACTGGTGCCTGCTAGAGGCAATCAACGAACAACAGGATGATCATGATCGTGAGATATATATATGTGTGTGTGTGTGTGTGTGTGTGTGTATACAAACTATAGATAGATAGATAAAATTTATCCAGGATAAGCTATTTATTGCAGCTGAAAATCAATGAGAGTAACCCAACACAACATTTAATATAAAATCCTATCCAGGTGTTGTGTAACTCAGTATCTTTGAACAACCTAAGTAATCACCAGCAGGTAAAGTATGAGCTAAAGTATGAGCTATGTGATTCAGTTGCCAAAGAAGTCATTATGACTTATAATGCTTTAATGGCTATCTATTTTTCCTGATAAAAGCCAGGTTCATTTTACCAACCCACTCCTTCTGTGTTAAATTCATGTTGTTGAGGGAATCATGTTTCATGGGACTCCTGCTAGATAAAAAAGAGAATTCAGAGAAGTAGCAGGTGGGGAAGGTGCAGGGATTGCAGAAGTGACTCTGCATAGACCCATTGAAAGGAAATGGGGAGGTTGATCTTGAAAGGACAAAGATTCATGACAAAAGGAAACCTGTGTTCAGACATGAGCAAGACTTTTCTAGAAGAGAGCCTGTGGTCAAAATGTTCTCAAAAAGAAGGCATGGCTGGTGAGAAAGACATGGCAAGTGACTTAGTGACCCCTTTTCCATCCTAGCTGCCTTCTCCCCCAGCTCATAAGGCAGGCTTTTAACTGTGGAACATTCTTCACTAAGTCAGTGATGGTTAGAGGGTTCGCTGGGAATAGGAGATGTGTGCCGAAGGTAGATAAAGGACCAAACGTGACAGCCTCTCAGTATCTATATTGCAAACCATAATGCCCACAAGTAGAGAGAAAGAGGGAAATTTTCTGTCATAAAGGCAGGGGGAGGGGTGGGAGGGGTGGGGTCTTTGGCAGGGAGGGACACTGGGGACATTATTGGTGGAAAATTTACAATGTCAGAGGGATGGGTGTTGGATCATTGTATGACCGAAATTCAAACAAGAAAGCTTTGTAACTGTAGTTCACGGTGATTCACTTAAAAAAAAAATGAAGAAAGAAAGAAAGAAAGAAAGAAAGAAAGAAAGAAAGAAAGAAAGAAAGAAAGAAAGACATGGCAAGGCATTTCTGAGGAAAGAAGACCATGAGTAGGATGAACAGAGAGTATTTCCTTGAAAGGAAGTGGACTTCTCAAACTATGGGAGTCCACATTTCTGAGTTGTTTTTTTAAAAAATAGGTTGTCGTGGGCCAAAGAGATGGTTCAGAGGTTTAGGCTCTTGCATGCGACTGTGATCCTGACAATGGTTTGACCCTGATGTGGCTTATGACCCCTTAAGCACTGCCTGGTGTGGCCCCTGAGTACTACCCCTAAAAATGTAGCATCCTAAGGAGGTACTGTGGAGTAGGGGGGAATGGTTAATTGCTGGAATTTATTGGTCTACTTGGAGGTCTTTGGAATAGCCAGAGAGGATAGTCTTTCAGATTACAGTCTCCATTTTTCAGATTTGTGTGCGTTAGGGACTTAAATTATTAAGTAAATCTTTGCTTTACTTTTTCTAAACTGGCTTAAGTCACTTTGTTAACACAGTTCAGTTTGCATACGGGATAATCATTCCTTATCATCTTAAGTAGTTTGATTTTTCTGGCCTTGGGCTCTTGTTGTAAAGCATCTGAACATGATGTGTTGAGTTGTGCTAAGTGTTAGAAAGTGCAATTGAAATTATCTTCTAATTGTGAGAATTTCTTTTTGGGATGGTGGGGGGTGATTCACCCAGAAAGTACTCAGAGCTTACTCTTGACTCTGTCCTCCATGGTCGCTCCTGGAGGGGCTAAGGGGACCACATGTGATACCAGGGGTCAAACTAGGGTTGATCACTAATAAGGCAAGTACTTTAACCTTCACACCATGTCTCTTGCTCAAAACTTGTGAGATTTTATGACTTAAATTGAATTAATAGATTAATTTATGTATGTATGTGTATGCATATGTGTGTGTTGTGTGTTGTGTGTGGTAAGTGGTAGAAACCTAGTATCTCACAGATATAAGGCACCCAACTCTACCATGGAACCCCCCCCACCCACCCAGCACAAAGTACTTTTTTTTCTTTTAATGTGACTTTGAATGGGATTGAACAATGTTCCATTTAAAGACCATTTTGCTGAGTTCATTTAAACCCATTCCCCTTGACAGATGCTTACCAGCACACATCCCAGGCTCTTTTTGTCTCTCATGATTTTTAAAGATGATCAACCTGATAGTGTCACATTCACACGCCTCTTAAATTAGTCTTTTGTGGTTCCAGTGGTTTATTAGCTTCTTCTTTAGTATGCAGTTTATTTTGTCTCTTGAAATTAGGTATTCAGTCTAGGTAACATGAATTATTGATAGTTATTTTGGCTCCAGGAAGCGTAGATCAATAAAACAGAAGAGTTAAAATTTATATCAGTTCAGAAGATCAAAAGAAAAAAACTGTATTTCTCTATAGGGCTCTGTAAAAATATAAAAAGATATGATACTTGCCTGTAAGCTCCAAATATAGTTAGGGAGAATATAGTATAAGAAGAATTTTTTTGTATAACACCCTGTGGGGAGCTTAAACTAGCTCACATATGTGACTTCAACATGTTTTTTAGTAATAAAAGCTGTTTTTAGTGTATATCAGCGTTGTCACTACTGACCCTTTCTCAAGAGAATAGATGCCTTGAATGGTATTATTATTATTATTTTTATTCTCTGTATAATACACTAGAAAAGAAGATGGCATGGGGGTTATGAATGCGTCTCTTTTCATAAAGAAGGAAGTTGAGGCAGTGAAGCTGTAGAAAATAGACATAGGTTTCATAATCAAACCTCAAGTCTTCTGAAGATCATAGTAGAGTTTCCATTATTGTGGAATCTATGGAGGAAAGAGGGCAGACTTTGGCTTTCTATAGTTGTTACATAATATAATTGAAAACAGAGAAGTGTAAATTAAAACAGAAAAAGAAGATGGCTAAATCATCTTTTCTGCAAGTGAATCAGGAGATGGGTTAGGACTCTTAATGTCAGGTGTCTGGGGAATATGAACCCTACATAATTCAGTAATAATTTGCAGCTCTAATTAGAAACATTGGGGAAATGTTTTAAACCACAACGATTATCTTTTTCTATAAACTTCTTGGTTGTAGTCATGCCTTTCTATGTAAATACAAATGAGAATGGGCATTTGCAATATCACTCGTTTGGAATATTCTTTTTGTCTAGGGTAGTGCTCTTTTGCTTCTTTGTAGAGTATCTGAATGTGATTGTTGACTTGTGCTAAGTCTGAACAAATGCATATTGGAAGAATCTTGAATTCAGATGTAATTAACCTGGGCAAGGGACCTTAATGGAATAGAAATTCAATGCAGTCGACTTCATTACCTAGGTTAATCTTATTATTATTGTTAATAATAGGCCTATTATTACCTATGTCAACTTTTGGGGAGAGTAGCCCTTCATTTATCTAGAAAACTACCTGACATGGTTAATTTTAGAAAATGTTAACATCCATCCTTTTCTGGTTGCCAAAATATTGAGACCAGCTGGTCATGATAACATCAATTTGTAATGATCTCATCAGTCTGAGTTACATGTTGCTGTTTCTCAGAACTTGGCACCACGTCTGACACGCATAATGCTGAGTTACTATTGAGCAGAATGTCACCAACTAGCTTTGGGGGTTCCAGGTCATGAATAAGCAATCACTTGGTTCTACACATTGTGTTTTCCGAGGAAGGAAAGAGGACTGTGATGATTTCAATGTCTTTCTGATGCTAGCATTACCAGTGTTTTTTCCTATGAATAGATAAATTGGTCATTGGCTATAGGCAGCATTTTCACAGATTCTAATTATTAAAAGGTTGTATGCTCATCCTGTGTGTTTCTTTCTCTCTGAATATCCACCGTGCTGACTTGGATGCTGGCTGGCATTTTTTTGTGGTGTGGAGCAGATGATTGACAGAATATGTGTGAAGGTACAAGATCATCTCAACTCTTTACGAAATTGTGTGGGTGAAACTGTTCAGGAAGATTTAAAATCAGCAGAAAGGCTCATGCGAGATGCTAAGAACTCTAAAACGGTAAGTTTCACTGCAAGTGGCCTGAGGTTATAGCATGAAAAGATTTTTAAAAATTCAAATTGGAAATCAGTTCCAGCTTTCTTTACCTTTCTGCCCAACTCTAAGGTTACTAACAGGTGAACCAAGAAAAAGGAATTAATTTTCACCTCCTTTCTGAGTCCATGCTAATGATCAATAATCAAAATGTAGACTAGAAACCAGGGAGCTGATATGATTTTATGACGTAGCCAGTTCTGAATATCTGAGAGGTATTGACGTTTAGATAAGTAGTGATTCATTTACAAATCATCCTGGGGCTGGAGTGATAGCTCAGCGGGTAGGGTGTTTGCCTTGCACGCGGCCCGACCCGGGTTCGATTCCCAGCATCCCATATGGTCCCCCAAGCACGGCTAGGAGTAATTCCTGAGTGCATGAACCAGGCGTAACCCTTGTGCATCGCTGAGTGAGACGCAAAAAGCAAAAAAAAAAAACCCCAAAAAAACCAAAAAAAAAAACCAAACACCCAATCATAATAATAATAAATAAATAAAAATCATCCTTCCACCAAGCTGAGATCACAAAACTCCCCCTTGGTTATTTTGAAAAGAAATCTGTCAAATTAAGAGGAATCATGCTCTGTTGAGTTCATCACTGAGAGTCCAGTTCCGGCCTACATTTTTGGGCCTGAGGTTACTAATCTATCTGAAGGATCTTTGACCAAGCATGGACCATTCCTAATAATAACTCTTCCCCCATTTTTATTAACTCTATGATGACTTTGCTGCTTGTTTATGTATTTAATTATAGAGGTTATTTTCATTTTTTTTTCTTTCAGTTGTTACCAAATTTGTACCATGTTGGTGCGTCTTGGGCAGGAGCGGGTAGCTTGTCATTCAATCCAATTCAGGAGACTCTGGAATCCATGGCTGGAGAAGTTACCAGAGTTGTAGATGAACAACTCAAGGTATGTGGCTTCTGTCATTTAGGGGAAATAAAATCGTTATGGTTTAGCAATGTGCAACTACAATTCTATCATTATGATCTAATTTATAGATAGAGATGGGCATCAGGACTACCTATATCTGATCAATGGATTTGATAGTAAAAATAGGGATAGTAGTAAAAATAGTCTTTATCTTAGGTAAGGTAAGGTAAAGGCCCTCCCGTTGATCGTCGATTTGCTCGAGCGGGCCCAGTATCGTCTCCATTGGAGACTTTGTTGTTACTGTGTCTGGCATATCGAATACTCTCGGTAGCTTGCTGGGCTCTCCGAGAGGGGCGGAGGAATCGAACTCGGGCAGAGGAATCGAACTCGGTCGGCCATGCAAGTCTTTATCTTAATTTATAAAAATTAAAAGAACTCTTTTTTTTTTCACATAATAGCCATTGTATGCTTAATTTCTTTTTTTTTTTTATTTTTATTAGTGAAACACCATGAGGTGTAAGTCTACCAGTTGTAGACTTACAGATTTTTGTGCTTGGGTTTCGATTATACAATGATCAAATACCCATCCCTCCACCAGTGCCCATTTTCCACCACCATGGATCCCAGTATCCCTCCCACCCCCCATCCCCCCATCCCACCCTGCCTCTGTGGCAGGGCATTCCCTTTTGTTTTCTCTCTCCTTTTGGGTGTTGTGGTCTGCTAAAGAGGCATTGAGTGGCAATCATGTTCGGTCCATAGTCTACTTTCAACATGCATCTCCCATCCTGGGAGGATCCTCCCAACACCCTTTATTTGGTGCTCCCTTCTCTATCTGAGCTGCCCTTTCCCCTAGAATGCCCAGCTGGCCTCTAGGCCATGGAGTAATCCTCCTGGTACTGATCTCGGCTATTCTTGGGTATTAATCTCCTATTTTGTTACTTTATGTCCCCCAGATGAATGCAATCTTTTTATGTCTATCCTTCTCTTTCAGACTCATTTCACTTAGCATAATACTTTCCATGTAGTACCACTTGTATGTAAATTTCATGACTTCATCTTTTCTAACAGCTACATAGTACTCCATTGTGTAGATGTACCAAAGTTTCTTTAACCAGTCATCTGTTCTTGGGAACTCTTTTTTTAGTCGAGTGACCATGAGATACACAGTTAGAAAGCTGTTCAGTCGTACAATGATCCAACGTCTATCCCTCCACCATTGTCCATTTCCTTCAACCAGTGACCCCAGTTTCCCTCCTTCCACCCCCACTCCCCCAGCCTGCCTCTATGGCTCTATGGCAGGCACTTTTCTCTCTCTCTCTCTCTCTCTCTCTCTCTCTCTCTCTCTCTCTCTCTCTCTCTCTCTCTCTCTCTCTCCTGCATGCATACTCTTAAAAGAACTGCTTATATAATGTGTCAAATTCATTTTACTTTTGATGGTAACTTTTTTTTTTATTTGCCTTTTGGGTCACATCCAGTGATGCTCAGGGGTTTCTCCTGGCTCATACACTCAGGAATTACTCCTGGCGGTGCTCAGGGGACTATATGGGATGCTGGAAATCAAACTGGGCTCCGCCACATACCAGGCAAAAGCCCTACCCACCGGGCTATCGCTCCAGCCCCTTGATGGTAAATTTTTGAATGAGCTTAATTTAAAATGGGCTGCCAGTGATTAGAGAATGATAATTTCAAAGTGAAGTCTGCTTTAGAAAAAAACTATGTTTTATTAGGATATTATGGTATGTGATTTAGAGACTGGAAGCTATGTAGATGCTGCTTCTATAGAGAGTTTGCTATGAGGTGAACAGATAAGGGTCCTGGCAAAGACCTGGTTGCAGGTTCACTAAAATAATTTAGAATGAGGTTACGAGGCATGCATATCTTTGTCAAGTGTCTGAAAGAAGAAAGTCTGACGTCTGAAATTGAAGCGCATAGTGTAACCTTAAACTCGCTTTCTCTAAGGGTAATTTATTGAAGCACTAGAGTAATTTCACATTCAGAAAGTTCATAATTTTCGATCAGCCTGTTTATGAGCATGCCTTAAAAAGACTTAGCAAGGGTCCAGAGAGATAGTACAGAGGGTTAGGGTGGTTGTCTTGCACACAGTCCTCCCTTTCATCCCAACACCACCAGGACTAATCCCTGAGCACAGGAGTAAGCTCCGAGCACTGCTTGGTGTGGCCCCCAAACAAAAAATCAGACGAACGAACAAAACTCTTGATAAAATGGGATCTGAAGAAAGTTCTAGGATTTTCGTGTTTGCCTTACACCCCACTTTCCCTGGTTTGAATCTAGCCCCACATATGTTCCTTCGAGCACCACCAAGGATCACTTCTGAACACAGAGCTGGGAATAGCCCCTGAGCACCACTGGCTGTGACCCCAAGCCCCCAAAAATAAATAAACCAAAATGCCTATAACTGGGGCTAGAGAGGTAGCCCAGTGGTATGACACTGGCCTGACATGCAGCCGCCCAAGTTCAATCTCTACACTTTGGGTGTTTCACGGCGACTTCTTCAGGTAGGAGTGATCAATAAATAGCTCCATTTTCGGTCCTTCTCCAGCCTCAAGAAATTGGAAGAAAATTGGGTTGAAAATTCCAAACTTCGAATCAGAACTTATTCTTTCTAGTGACTATCTAGAATCCCAGGCAGAGTCACCTCAGTCAATCGGAAGGCACTGGTGCCACCCCGGAAATTGCAAGGATTTCAGGAGCTTCGTCAGGGATGGGGGTTCCTGCCTTGAGTAGAGTGGAAGGTGTCCCTAGCTGGTTCTTCCTGCTCAGTCCACTGTCAGGTTTCAGGAGTTCTGTGCCAGGAACTGGGGACAGAGACCAATGGCCGTTTTCTCTTGTCTTATAACAAGTATAGTTTACTTGCTTTTTTGCTGGTCCAGTAAATGCCAACATTAACTCATCACTAGATCAAACTGCACGCATACCTCCAGGCTTCACATTTCACAAATCACAAATCACAAATCGTCCTGTTAATCGTTGATTGCCTCGAGCAGGCCCCAATAACGTCTCCTTCATCCTAGCCCTGAGATTATATTCAAGGCTCTTTAGGAGAATGAGACCCATCATTGTTACTGGTATTTGGCATATTGGGTACGCCACGGGGAGTTTGCCAGACTCTGCCGTGGGCTTCACATTTATCTGCCAGCTATTCTCTGGTGGCAAAGCACTTGCTTGTTTTGCCACATCCTCACTTGACCTGAGTATATTAACCTTTTGGAGGGAGTGGGGAGAAGCATTGGCCATACTCAGAAGTGTTCAGGTGCTTTTTCCAGCTCTTATCTCAGGAGTGATCCCTGGCAGTGCTCAGAGAACCAGGTGTGGCACCAGAGGTTTGAGCCACATCAGCCGCATGCAGGACAAACTCCTTATCTCTTTTCTTCTTGTACTATCTCTTCAGCCCCAAACATTATTAACCCGCACACCTGTTGGCTTATTAATATTTGTCGTGTAATGGGTTCCAGCACATCGCAGTGTCTTTTGGAGTTCTCTAATAACCAGAAATGCAGCAAATAATTTTATTTTTCACTTGTATTTTGTTTGTAAATTTCATGTCTGTGTCTTTGCTAGTTTTTCCTTTTCTTTTGTATGAAATCCTCGCATGCTAAGAACTGTCTGGCCTGTCAAACATTTCTAGCGTTGCACTAGGAGCTTCCCTGTCAACTTCCCACTGTTACTGTCATCAACTCTCCTAACGCACAGTGTTCCCTAGTCCCCTGAGTGCCCATTTCCTTCTCCGTCACCAGTGGTTGGAATTAGCTATCACCAGCCCTGGCCAGGGAGAGGCTCTGAGGCAAGGACCCGAAGTAAAACACACATGAATTTTTTCTTCTCTTTTTGGGTCACACCTGGCGATGCACAGGGGTTACTCCTGGCTCATGCACTCAGGAATTATTCCTGGCGGTACTCGGGAGACCATATGGGATGCTGGGAATCGAACCCGGGTCAGCCGCGTGCAAGGCAAATGCACTACCCGCTGTGCTATCACTCCAGCTCCCGCATGAGTTTTTTAAAGCCTGCAGTTCTATAAAGGTAGCTCAGCCCCAGCTATTTTTCTGTGAACAAACCTTGCCCAGAGTTGTGGGCGCTGACCTCTGACCCCTTGTCAGTGTCATCCTGTTCTCCATTCATCACAGCTTCCTTATTTGCAAGTGACATGACAGGCTTTTCTTTCCTTGTCACTGCCTGTCAGTGACAAGGAGAGAAAAGCTCCTGAATGACCTGTGAGGTTTCTGCTTCCTGGCAGGCTTTAAGGCCTCTCCTTCCTTCTCAGTTTAAGTTTCTTTTCCCTCACGGGAACATCTGCCATGAATCAGAACAAGAGCTTCATCACCACGTCGTAATGAAATGTGGCTTGTTCATTAGGCCTGTTCCTCTCCTCGAACTGGATAGCCATGGGGCTTTCCATCATTTCCTTAAACTAGAAGGATTCAGCCTCTCTTCTGCTTGCCTCTAGTTTACCTGACAAGAGTATTCCCGGGGCTGGAGCGATAGTACACTGAGTAGGGCGTTTGCCTTGCACGCAGCCAACGGGGGTTCGATTATCAACATCCCATATGGTCCCCCGAGCACTGCCAGCAGTAATTCCTGAGTGCAGGGCCAGGAGTAAACCCTGAGAATTGCCGGGTGTAACCCAAAAAGCGAAAGAAAGAAAGAAAGAAAGAAAGAAAGAAAGAAAGAAAGAAAGAAAGGAAAAAAGAAAGAAAGAAAGAAAGAGTATTCCTCTTTCGGGGCTGGAGCTCCCCTGAGAATCGCCGGGTGTGACCCAAAAAGCAAAATAAATAAATAAATAAACAAACAAACAAATAAATAAATAAAGAGTATTCCTCTTCTGGGGCTGGAGCCATAGTTGGGGGTTAAGGTGCTTGCCTTCTGTGCAACTGACCTGAGTTTAATACCTGGCACTGTGTGGTCTCCAGAGCATCTCCAGGACCGCCCTTAGCACAGAGCTGGGAGGAGCCCCCTGAACAGCAGGATGTGACTGAAACATTTAGCTGTTTATTCAGCCTTCTCTCTTTCTTTTCAAATCA